GATGGACGGTCGTAGCTACAACAGAGGTAAAGTAAAAAATCCAAACAGGCCGTTTTCGACCACTTTTCTAACACCACTGACAACAAAAATGTTTCCACTGAATCCACCAACTTACCAAAACGAAGTATGAGGTTAATATCGGCTCGCCAGCAACTAGAATCTGACATTCATGTGTTGAACCGTACATTTCAAAAGTTGTAAATGTTAATACAGTAACTAATTTTGACCATTTTCCACGAATTTTACCCATTTTACATATAAAACGCTGAATTGAGCCCAAATGGAAAGCAAATTGGTATATTTTCATTTGTTTCGCTGCAAAATAAAAACCATTCACGATTGAATGCAGAATAGGGAATTTTTGAAGCAAAAAAAGTGTTTTTATTGCGAGTTGAAAACACCCTCTGAAGCAGGGTCATTTTTCGACCTCTTAGACCCATCAGAAAGGATTGAGATGAGTCTCAATCGATTTTCCGTCAAAAATTACGTGGAAATAGAATCATGACAGCCCATTATAGGTGGGTTTTCTATGCCACAAATGTGATTTTGTAAGCATATTTCGAACATTCGTTTGTTCTATGAAGAAAAGTCAGTTTCGGACCAAATTTATAGGTAAACCGATGTGGAGAAGGTCGTTTTTTCATGTATTTGGACGAAAAAATAGCAGTTTTCTCATATCAAAATGTCGTGAAAGGCCATTTTCGACCATTTTTCCCACAAAAACGCTGAAAAATGACATATGATTCACCTGCCGAGGCCAATTACACGGATTTAACCATAGTGTTACACGAAATTTTATTTTCCCATCTGAAGCGGCGTAACATGGGCTATCTTTTGACGCAAAAAAAACATGCCAAAAAACCCCACTATTTTGAGATATTTAACATTTTATACTTTGAACCCATTTTTGGAGGTTCCATTGGGGCCATAGAGGATAGGTTACTAGGCGGATTTTGTAGCCCCATCAATTCCCTTTCCAACGGTATCATAGGTTTGGCAATGTGTCAACTACTTCACAGTTAGATTTTGGTTGGCGCAAACCCTTTTTTTCGATTTTTTCAATTTTTTGCAAAATTCACACTGGGTTTACTCAGAAAGGCGGGCCACTTTTAGGCCTGAGATTTTGGTTTTCTCTTTTTCTATCGGAAACAAGACTCCAAGCCAATTTTCAGCCAATTCGGCGACCTCACATTGCAACTCTTCCCTGATTTCGTGTGGAATGGCCGATATATATGTCAAAAATTCTGCAATTTTTTTTTCTGCAACATTTTTTTCTGCGTTTTTGGGTTTCTGCATTCGATACCGGATTCTGTAAATTCATATCATCACTGTGCACTCCAACATCACGTACACCAAATTCCTTTGGTGCACACAGCTGTTGTTTTTTTATTCCATCTGAATAAACACAAAAGTGGTGTGTTGGGCAAAAGCCGTTTTCGAAAATGATTATTCGTTTATTGTGCGACGTTTCGCTCTTATTAGGAGCATCATCAGGCTGGAGAACAAAAATGTTCACAAAAAACAATGAGTAAGTGTTTAAACAATTGGTAACAGCCGAAAATAACCAAATTACGAAACAGTTACATCTGAATTTAAAATGTTTTCGAACGTATTCCATTTTTCCATCGATTTCCACAAATTGTATCAGCTACACGTCTATCAAAGGAATTTTGTTATTGAGCTTCATTTCGTGTCTGAATATGATTACACTATGCAACAACAAGAAACAACTACAGAGGAGGGAACTTATTTACAAAGTTTTTTGGGCCCACTTAATCCAAATCTAGCGTTAGTTTCTCCTGGCACGTCTAGTTTTCAAGATACGTTCATTGCGGTTTCCGTATCAGATTTGGATTTTTGGATTAAGTGGGCCAAAAAACCTTGGAAACGAGTCTCCTCTTTTTGGGAGAATTTCGTTTTCGAAATTTGTTACATAGTGTTAGTAGACCTCAATTCATAAATTCCATAACTGAAAAATACCACTTTTCATCAATTATTGATTGCATGGCAAGTGTCAGCTATTAGTAGATGAATGGTATAAAATAGGCAGGGGGACCGCATAGGGAAGACCAAACGAATTCAAAGGATCTTCTAAAGAAGTACAAGACGATTCTCCACTATCATTGTGCAACAGGTTAAAACTCAGTTTCGTTGGCAAATTAAAATGAATCTACTTCACGGTTTGTTTTCGGTGCTATTTATCGTTGAATTTTCGGTAAGTTTTTTTTCACTTTCATCCAATAAAATACGATATTTCTGTAGAACTGCAAGTGAACACGAAATTTCTTTTTCTAGGAACTTCAAGGAAAACGTAAGACATTTTTGGTTTTCGAACTAGCTTTTTATGATTCCAAAAGATTTTTTCAGACTCTTATAATATTCAATTCGAAATTTCAACTTTTTTTCTAATCAACAGATGGCTTTTTCTCGCAAGCTCTTCTTAAGGGCGAAGTGATTGAAAACATGTCACAGGCAAAGTTTGTAGCTAGAATCCATGCTCCTGCAAGTAAGTCTGCTTTAGAATCATTTTCATTTTTTTGTGTGTGAATTTTTGTCCGAAAAATTCAAATATTCTATCAATTTTGCTAGGGGCTGACTACGTTTCAGAAAATTGAAAATAATGCTAGATTTTATAATTTTTTTCAAACAATATATTATTTACAACTGTGACATTTTTCGAACTTTCTCCAGAAACGTTTCACTGTAAATGATAACTTTCTATTTTGTCTTGTTATTAAAACGAATATGCATTTCTGTCGTTTTACTGTCAGAAAATTCATCACATTGTGGTGGTCAAAAGTATCGTTCATAGTGGATTATAGATTTAGTCAAATATTTGAGTTAACATACAGATGGTATTAAAACTGAATGATAGAAACAAATTTTGTAGATGAAAAATTCGCGGTTTGTCCCTAGCAATTTTGTGTGTGTGTTCATTTTTCCTTTAAATATTATTGCTTTTACTGAGAATAACACGATTTTATTACAAAATATTTGCATGAATACAAAGACCATCCAAATGATCCCAATGGAAAAATGACGAATATTTGTACCGCATTTATTCTGTCGAAAACGGAAATTATTACGAATGCCCATTGTGTGTATGAAGCCCCATATGTTTATGTGGTAGCTGATACGAAAGTTGTCAAAGTCGAAGAAGAGAACATTGCATATCACCCTTATTATAGTCATTTAATTTTTGGTGCATTTGATATTGCCAAAATTACACTGAAAACGCCGTTAGAATTCAGCGATACCGTTGGTAGTATCGAACTCGTGGATAAGGATTACAAATTGAATAACTCATCAGAAGTGGTCACTGCCTATGGATATGGCGTGTTGAAAAACACCGGACCATCGATATTAAGGCGTTGCGATGCAAACTATATATCTGATGTCGAACGAGTCAACACATTTAAGCCAAGTCAGACTTTGTACTTTACAACTGGTGAAGCTACGAATGATGGCGAAATTATTACACCTGGTGATTCGGGTGGACCAGTCGTTTCAAAAACAAATGGCAAAATCGTGGGCATAAATGTGGGTACAAACAAAATAACAGGTGGCCGCGGAATGTTCCTTCCAATTACTCTATTTCTTGATTTTATTCGTGACCCAAAGGTATCTAATCACAATGCCCCAATTTTTGTTCTCAACAACGCAAACAAAATCATTTTTTGCATTAATTTCAGAGCGTGAAACCAATTCCACCTCAGCTTACACCTAACGAAACTAAATTTATAGCCGATATAACGGCACCGGGAAGTAAGTGTGCATTCGAAATTCGAACTAAATCAGACCGTTCTTAACGTCACTTTTTTTATTTTAAATAGAGGAGAGGCAAAAGTGGAGATTTTTCATGATTCATAAACATAAATATTCATTCTGAGATGTTTTTCTATTACAGAATTTCTAACTCTCTTCAAGCATAAATATGCCGATGCTGACGAAAATGTTGGACTAAAATTTAATGCAATCATTTTGTCGAAAACGGAGATTTTGACCTGTGCGCATAATGTTCACGGCACACCATATGTCTACGTAATCGTTAATAAACTATCCAAAAATGAGACAAAGATCAAAGTCACTGAAGACCAGATAGAAATTCATGAGAAATACGCATTGCCGGGATTCGCATTTGACGTTGCCAAGATTACACTTAAAGAACCATTGGAGTTCAACGATAACGTCGGCAGCATAGATTTGGTGGACAAAGATTACAAAATGAATGACCCGTCCGAAATGGTCACTGTTTATGGTAATATGATGTTGTATGGAACAATGAGAACGAGACGTTATGATACAAAGTATTTGGATGGCGCCAAATGCAAACCGAAAGTGCACCCTTTATTTGATGCAAATCATTTGATGTGTTACACTTTAGATGAAAGCATGGGAACTCCCTCTACGTTTGGAGGTCCAATTATTTCGAAGAAGAATAACAAACTCGTGGGCATGACCGTATTTTGTTCATCTGATCAGCCAGTTATTTTTCAACCGATTGCACCGTTGCTTGACTGGATCCGGAAGCCAAATGTAAGACGTAATCAAAGAAAAAGAATATAATCTTGAACAAAGGGGTTTTGGGCGCCTGAAAAAGCTAAATACCGTCTCTTTTTTTGCCCCTGTCATTTGATGTTCAACAAAAGAACCGAATAAATTTGATAATTTGAGAAAAATGCATTTTATTTTTCATTAGCCCATGCGCAGTTATTGATTTTCTGAAATAATTGCGATGAAAAGTCATTTGAAGAGTGAATTGAATCGACTCCAAAAGCAAATTAACATCACAGTCAGATCGGAATGCAATACATTTTGGGACAACAAATTGAAGAGTATCACCAAAGGCAGCAAAAAGATATGGAATTTGTCGAACAGTGCCGCGGCAAATTCGATTCCACCATCAACAAAATCAAAGTCAATGGATCTCAGACATTTGATGACACCGACAAAGCAAATTGCCTATCGAAAATTTTCGAAGAGTCACACAAAATCACCCATGAAAATGATACCGTTGTGACTACCACAGT